CTGTTAAGCTTAAGCAGATTTGAGGAGAACCAGGATTTTATTTCAGTCAAGCAGTCAGTAAGCGAGGATGGTGGGAGGTTGGAGGCGGGCTTACTGGAAACATAGAACTGGGTGTCATCCGCATAACAGTGGAAATCAATGTTATGCTTACGAAAAATATTGCCCAGGGGAAGGAGATAAATAAAGAAAAGGAGGGGCCCTAAGACAGAGCCCTGGGGAACTCCTGATGTAACAGAGGAAGGCTGGGAAGAGAAGGTTTTGATCCAAATGAACTAAGTGCGGCAGGAGAGATATGATTTAAACCAGTTTAGAGGAGTCTGAGTGATACCAATAGAGGAAAGTCTGTTGAGTGGGGTAACATGGCAGATAGTGTCAAACGCTGCACTCAAATCAAGTAGAATGAGAATGGACAGCAAGCCAGAGTCAGCTGCCATAAGGAGGTCATTAGTGATTTTTAATGAGAGCTGTTTCTGTACTGTGGAGGGGACGAAAACCAGACTGAAACAGTTCATACAGGTTATTGTTGGATAGATAAGTGTGAAGTGGGGATGCTACTATCTTCTCAAGAATTTTGGAGATGAAAGGCAAGTTGGAGATAGGACGGAAATTATTCAGATTGTAGTGATCAACACCAGGTTTTTTCAAGATAGGGGTTATGGCAGCAATTTTAAATGATGCAGGAACTGTTCCAGTTGAAAGAGAGGAGTGAATAATGGCAGAGATAAGAGGGAGTATGGATGGGGCACAGGCTTTAACCAGGACTGTGGGAAGAGGGTCAAGCAGACAGGTGGACGACTTGGATTTGTGTATGAGACTTGTAATTTCTGATGTTGTTGGGAGCTGGAAAGAAGAGAAGGAGTGGGCTGGAGGAGAAAGTTCAAGAGTAGAACAGGGGGAGGGTTGTGAGCTGAGATGCTGGTGGATATTAAGAATTTTACTGTCAAAAAATGACATGAGAGAATTACAAAAATCAGTTGAACACAGATATGAAGGTAGAGAGTCCGGGGCTCGAAGGATGTTCTTGTAAAGTGAGAATATTGACTTGGTGGAACCTTCATTTAAACAAATTAAACCAGTGTAGTAGAAGGATTTGGCTTGAGTGATACAGTCCTTATAATTTAATATGTGATTTTTGTAAATGTCTTTATGAACAACTAGTCCAGTTTTCCGATGGAGCCTCTCAAGTTGCCGTCCTTTGGCCTTCATGAGCCGAAGTTCAGGAGTAAACCAGGGGGCAGAACGAGCAAAAGAAACAGATCTGGATTTTAGCGGAGCAAGAGAGTTGAGTATTGAGTGAAGACCAGTGTTATAATGTGAGACCAGGTCATCAAGGGTGGTTGAATTTAAAGTTGAGTATATAYTGTCCATGAGAGAATTGACGCCGGAGGAGAGAGAATTTAAATTAATATCCTTAATGTTACGGAAAGAAATAAGACGGGAAAGCTTAGTGATTGAGAGAGGAAGACAAAAATTAAATGAGAGGAGGAAATGGTCAGTTATGGCGAGTTCATCTGCTGTATAATCAGAAGGGGAAACACCAGAACAACAGACTAGATCCAGGACCTGACCCTTAGAATGAGTGGGAACATTGATGAACTGCTGGAGACCAAAACTTTGGAGGCAGGATGAAAAGTCTTTAGTCAGAGAACTATTGCCATCGTCCATGTGAATATTGAAATCACCCAATACTATAATGTTTRGTGARAGGGTTGACAGGTGAGTGAGAAGAGCAGCAAAGTCATTCATAAAGTCACTGTTAGTTTTCGGGGGGCGGTAGATGGTTGTGATGATGGTGGGGGTAGGTCCAGAGAGCTGACACACAGTTGATTCGAAAGAGGAGAAGGTGGGAGCAGACAAAGGCGAGACTTTCCACTTCTCGCGGTAAATTATCGCGAGACCTCCTCCCCGGCCGGTGCCACGGGGTTGACAGATGTAAACAAACCCCGGTGGAGTAGAATCATTGAGCTGAGAGAAGTCATTAGGTTGTTGCCAGGTCTCAGTCAAGCATAGAAAGTCAAACTTACGGTCAGTGAGGAGATCCTGGATGAGATGTCCCTTGCCTGTGAGTGAGCAGATGTTAAGCAGACCGAAGTTTACAGAGGAGTTATCAGGCTTTGCAGGAGTGTTAGCTGACCGGGCTAGGCAAGCTAGCACGCTGCTGTCAACAACCCGGTTGGAAGCACGCCGGAGACGACGAGAGGTAGACCAGATGGATTTTATGGGTTTCGAAGTGTCCTCTTGGATGTTCCGACGAGACCCACGGTGGGTGTATTTCCGGCGTGGTAAGAGAGTTGCATCCGAGATGAGTAGTGAAGTAGGGGGGAGTGCAGATAGATGAGACCGCAGCCAGAGGAGCTCAGCAGCAGAGTACTGGATCAGACCCGTAACAGGTTGTTGGAAGAGTGCCAGGAGAGTCCAGAGAAGCACAGCCCAGATATATATCCTGCTAGTTGGCATTGTGGGAGAGGAGTCGGCAGCCTGGACAGGTGAGCAGCGACAGTTAAGACTCAAGTAGTAGATGAAAGCAGGAGAGTGGAAGCTAGTCCATGTACACACGCAGTGTTGTCAAAATCGGCGATTTTGCTGAACAGACAAAAGTTAGTCAGCCTGATTAGTGCGATTGCATAGTCCATTAGGTCACAAGACCATAAACTAAGTTAATTTTACCGGCGAGCAGCGGCAGCAAGTTGCGCCAGCGTTCACTCTAAAAACCGGAAGTGCAATTAGCAATGCTGGTCAGCTTATCCGTTTAGGACCAAATTGATTTACTGTAAAAACTATAAAAGAAAACACCATAAAGGTTTGCACAGGCATACACGGTGTCCAGGAAGTTAAACTTCATACTCTGGTAGTAAATGCTAATCCCACTCTGGACAGTCTCAGATTAATTTAAGCAGGTATCGAGATATCTCTTTGGGCTGGACATGTTGGCGTCTAGTTTTAAACCGAGTGTTTGTGATGGAATTTCCAAAACCGTTTTCAAACATTTGTGGGGAGTTCTCTGCCCCGTCACATGAGACACAGAGGATTTGCATCTCTGTCACGTGAATTTCTAACATGTTCCAAAAAATTGTGAGACAAAATATTTAAAAACAAGTCCAAATCTGCCTATATTTAATTTATAAGTGTACTAGTCGATTAAATCCTAAAGGTGGGGCAGCTCCAGAAGCAGGTGCCATGTGGGTGGATGTGGAAATAAAAGATCTTGCACAGCAGTTTGCAGTCTGGACATGCAAACGTAAGCTGTGTTTTTCAAAAACAACAAACTTTAATTTGTTTCTGAAACTTTCAGAAAGTTTGATATACAGTATTTATTCACGTATAATACGATCTCGAGTATACTGTATTACGATCAGCATTTTTTGAGCTTAAAAAGCATAAAAAATCTAATCATCATGTTATGAGCCACCACTCGTTTCAGACAGATTTCCGGATTTTTCAGCCTTTATTTGAGGAGACACTCTTGTGTGGGCATGTTCTGCTCCAGAGAACGTGCAGTGGAAGTTTCCGGTTCTGTGTGTCACTGAAAAAATAATCCACTCCCAAACCAGTTAGCAAGATGGATTTATCAGAACATCCAACCAAAGGCCAAGTCTTCTTTAAATTGCCAGGGTTACTAAGAAAAAGAAAACAAGTTTTTCCTCTTCTGACTCTGGTGAGTGGTAAGAGGAGTGGGAATATTTCAGTCAAATAAGAGGAAATATTGAAACTTATAGTGGTTGTACATTAAAATAAGGCAGTCACACACACACACACACACACACACACACATGCACACACACACGCGCACACACACACACACACACACACACACAAACACACACACATTATGGATAATTTCTGGGGTTAAATTTCTTGTATTATACACATTAATACAGTACTTAACTTTTGGAGTCAACCTGATTCAAGAGGGCTGGCACAGCCAGGGCTGGCCACAACATTCATTTTTGAGCTGCTCAGAGTCCATGTGCATTCATATATTCTATTGGGTTTTATGTGAATATAAAAGTTCTGGTACACATACACAATCCAAAGCAAATGGAGCTGTCTGCTTCTGTATAAGACAGTTACTTTACTGCAGTTCATTCTTTTCTAGTACTGCTTCTACAAGAGATTATTGTATAAAAGTGAAGCATACTTCATCACCCCTCACTGCGTGTCAAAATTCTGAACAAAGATATCAAGTGATCTGTTAGTGTTTATTATCTGTAACAATGAGTTATGACCATTATAGGGCTTGCTAATGTTAAATAGCTGTGGTGGCCATCTTGAATTGGGCTGACCTAAAATATAAAAAGGTGTATGTGTACATCTGATAATTACTTTGAGTTTCATCAAAATCCAATCAATTAATAAAACGTTTTGCTAACAGACACAATTACAGGATTGCTCTTCCCCTTTAGAAGAGGTCAATAACCTGGTAACACACTGAGTGAAACCTTTGCTCATACCTTCATAAAGCTGGTGGCCTGTTCTGGATGCAGCAGGCAGACACGCAGCTTGTTGCCTCTGTATGACATCTCCATCATGTCAAACGCCAACGCCTCTGGGACCGCCAGCACCACAGCAACCAGCCAGATCAGTGTCACCTCCACTGCTTTCCACAGAGGGATCCCCATCCCCTTTACCCTGCTCCATGATGTCACTGCATGGTAGCTACAGAAAAAAACTGCAGTCAGAGCTTTGGTAGGGATTTGATGTTGGAGGGAGGAGTGTGTGTGTGTGTGTGTGTGTGTGTGTGTGTGTGTGTGTGTTCTCACCGGTCAATGCTGAGGGCACACAGGCTGAGGA